CTTAAAATACTTTCTAACCATCTGTCACCTGCACTTCAAGGAGATTGTTATTCCTTTGGAAAAGAGTTGGATCATTTGTTTCTGTTTCTAGTGTATTGAGGGTCACCCTTATCCCTGTCTTGGGGTGTGTATGTATGTTTCTGTGGACATATGTATATGACATATTAACATGATTCTAAATATTAGATGGGTGTAAAAAATGGTATTTTCAAAGAATCATACCTTCCCTCATTCTTTTTATCTCATTCTCATCCCTCTATCCCCTTGTCATTTTATCCTCCCCTTTTTATTACACAAAAGTAGCACATTATACTTTTTTCACTTTGATTCTTTCACTTAACAATATTCTAGAAATCATTCCATGTCAGTTCATATATATCTCCCTTTCTTTTTTTACAGCCAGTAGTTCTCCATTTGTGGATATTATAACAAGTTTATTTAACCATCCTTATATATATGAGTACTTTGTTTCAAATAGTTTGCAATTATAAACAATGTTGCAATGTGTTTTTATATTGAAGAAATTATATCTTAAGGGTAATTTCTTAGAAATGGAATTACTGAGTCAAAAGGTAAATTTGTATGTGCAGTCATTATATATTTCCATATTTCCTTTCATAAGGATTATACCCATTTATATTCCCACCAAAAATGTATGAATATTCCTGGTTTTCTTAGTCATACTAATGGAATATATTACCATACTTTTACAATGTTGTTAGTCTAAAAGGGTCATAAATGGTATCTCTGTGACTTATTATTTTTATGTTTTCAAATTAAGTAAGGGTGAATATCTATAAATATGTTTATATATACATATAATTATACTACATATACATATGTGTGTGTGTATATATATATATATACACACACACATATATAAAGAGAGAGAAAAAAGGAGGAAGAGAAAGGAAGGAAGGAAGGAAGGAAGAGAGGGAGGGAAGGAGGAAGGAAGAGAAAGAATGTGCATGTAAACTCTGTTTTTAGCCCGAGGATTTTCTGTTTTTATTTTTGTTTTCCTGCCTCACTTTTGAACAGCTCTTTAGATATTAGGGATATTGGCTCATGTTTTGTTACAAATGTTTTCTCCCAGTTTATCAGATTTTTTTGACTTTGCTTACAGGTGGGTTTTTTTTTTTCTTGCCATGTAATTTTTAAAATCTTTCTTGAAATTAAAATTATTAATCTTTTATTACAACTGGATTTGAAGTCACAGGAAATTTTTATTTTTGTATGTTAAAAGAATAATATTCGTTTTTCTTTCAGAGTTTGTATGATTTCATATATTTTACATCTAGGTCTATGATCCATTTGGAATTCATCCTCTTTGCAGTATGATAATAAAGCTATCCTTTCATTTTTTTCCCCAAAGGCAAACTAGTTGTTATGAACTATTTACTGAAGAGTCTGTCTGTGCTCTGACAATTTGAGATGCTACATTTTCCATTTATCAAATCTCCCTATGTGCTTGAGTCAATGGTTTGATTTTCTACACCAGCATTTTTTTTGGGGGGGGTGGTCTATTCCTGTGCAATATAATACTAATATAATACCAATATAATACTTAATTATAACAGCTCAATTTATAATAGCTAAACTATGTAACCAACCTAGGTGTCCTAGGAGTCCTTCTTCAATAGATGAATGGATAAACAAAATGTGGTATATATATTCCACAGCAGCCATGTCCCAGCTTGTAGCTGCTGTGTTTTGGATGGAGGTCGGATGTTGCTACTGAAAGGTGGCCTCCTGGGTTCCAGAGGCTTTGTGCCTGCTGCAATTATGCTGCTGGTGGTCATCCACAGCCCACGTTAGCCATAGGGATTTCTTGAAAGAGTGCAGTCTTGAATCATCGGCAGTGTCTCCGCAGATGAAATTCACGGAAGTGTGATTGCTTGCTCCAAAGGTACATGACTATGTAATTTTGTTAGAGATTGCGAAATTCTCTTCAAAATGGTTAAACTAGTTTGCATCCCACCAGCAATAAATGAGAGCACCTGTTTTTCCACAGCCTTTCCAGCAGAATGTGTTCTCATGCACATTTTAAGTTGTGCTAGTCTGACAGGTGATGATGTAAGTCTGCAGGTGGGATTGCCTGGCCAGGTTTCCACTTCAGAACGTAATGCATGTAATTGTATTATGCCAGACTCTTTTTGCTTCAGAAACATCCCTCAAGAGGCCCTTTGTGTCCTCTCCTGCTAGAAAAACTCAGGCAAGACTATTCCAGCACAACAGAGAGGATCTTATTATAATAAACCTGAAAAGATAAGTGGTCATAGTCTGTATCCAGTTTCTCCCAAGGAGCTGGACATCTCTGACACACTGCTCTATCCTTACTCACTCACCAATTTGTACATAAACCAATAATGGAAAGGGCAAAACTTTTTAAACCATACAAGCTCCTGTACCTTGTACCATGGAAACAATTTGACTTTCATTGACAGAAATAAAAGGGACAATCTCCCCATTTTCTTAAAGACCTCTGTGTGCCAAAATGGCAACTAACATTAAAATAATAGTTTTTTAAAGTTACAATTTACTGAGGACTTTACTGACCCCAAAGATGCCACCAGAAGCAAGTTGCAGAGAATGTCCAAGACTGGGGACAACTCTGGGTGAAATATTACCTTCCAAGAAGCTCAACAGTCCACTACCAAGCAGAATGGGGAAAGAAAGGTCTAAATGAAATCACTGGTTGATGTCTGGGGAAATGATGGAGCTTTGATGAACATGTTGTCCTAGCCTCTGCTAACATATGCCCTCAATGTATCTAATGTAGAGACTTGGCAGATGACACAAATGTTGAGCTTCTTCTACCCCATACCAGGGCTCTAGAGCCTCACATGTTCCTCTCCTCCTTGGAAGAACAGGAAGGCTTTTTGTTCCCTGCTAGGACAACACCTTCTTTTATTTGCCATACCCCACCCTCCTTCCAACTCAGCTAGCTACGGATTCCCCGTAATCCTGGTGGGAGCTTACCTGTTTTAACCCTGTCAAGTCCTGACATCAAATTCCTCACTCCCAAAAGATGCTGAGGAGTTCAGAACAGCACACACTTACTTCTTCAACAGACTACCCCAGAATGGACTCCCCCAACCTAGCAAGTGAATAGCTACCAAGGAGACTTTTTAGTAGGTACAATAGTAAAGGGGAGAAGCCAGGAGGAAAAGAAGGAATAAGAGGCTTACAGAATGGGGTGTGACGTAACACCTTCTAGGCATTTGGATAACCAGACATAGAGCCAACCTGCCTACTCTATTTCAATTCTAATTCTTTCTTTCTTAGTAAGTTGAATGTCTAGTTGGTAGAAGAGCTGAGATTTTTAAATCATCCTAATTCTTGCCACCTGTGAAGTTTACATAGTTTGGCCAAAAGAACAATAAAACTAATGTCAAAACTGAGAAATTTAAATTGTTTAGACATTTTAATTATCCCCATGTGTATTCTCAACTAGCTGTGTCTGGTGTACATTAAATGATTATGCTAATTTAAGGTATAAAACTAACCAAATACTTCTTTTTTATACACAGTCTGAATGCCAGAAATTAATAGTCCAATTTCTAGAATAATGAAAAATCAACACACATAAGCTAAGTATCTAGCACATAATAACCACTCAAGTGGATTTTGAAGAAGCTAGGATTTTATGAAAAAATTTATTTGTAATTTAACATGTATCATTTCTGGGAAAGATCCATGATAATTTTATATGCCTTATTAGCCTGCAAAGTAATTGCATTATTTTAAATCTGTATTAACTATTATATACATATTGAATCCATAGCCCTTCAGTTATGCAATTTTATACTTTTCCTAAATACATAATGGTTTTTGCAGTAATTATTGATTGATTATTTAAGGCAATGAAAACAGAACAGTATAAAAATGTTTATTTAGTACATTAACAATGTCCTTGAGCACTAGTATCTATTTTTTTTTGGGGGGGGGGAAATCTTATCCATTTTTCTTAATAGCAGTTTTGTTTTCTTAATGATGTTTCCTTCTAAGTATATTCACTTTAGGAAAAACGTAACTCTTCATAAATATGAGCCAAAAGAGATTTTTAACTTTTTAAAAGTTTCAATCAATCATAATACTGTCAGGGAGTACTAACCCCATTGCCAGAAAATTCAGATCTTTTTATATATAAAGTGCTTATTTATTTGAAAAATAGGCCATTAAAGTGACAGATGAGTGTTGAGATGAATTATGAGATACCTATAGAATGTTTTTTAAGGAATTATGGTGGCAGGCTGGATAAAGAGAAGAAACATGATAAAAATCTAAATAATGAGTGAATGTTTGACATTGACACAGCTCAAGGCCAAATAAATTACTTCCACCCAGAGTTTTTAATTTACATTCTTGGCCCTCAAGCAAAATATCATAAAGTAAGAGAAGACATGAAGTGCCTCTCTGGACTTAATTTGATCCACAAAGTCTTTGGTGACAACATGGGAGTGACAGGAACAGAAAAAAGGGACCATGTCATCTTGGAGTTCATCAGAGTAAGAGAATGAGGTGCTGAACATTTCTGGACACACATTCCAAACTCACTTCAAAAAGTCCCAAGAGAATAAGTAGATGCCAACAGCCAGAGGCATAAAGGGAAAATGACTCACAGAGACAAAGATCTTAAGCAATGACAATCTGACTATTACTTTAAGCAATTCTAGTAAGAGGTGGGGTTGGGGTAAGGGGGATGGACATCAGGACAACCAGCTCTGTAGGGAGCTCTCTGACAATCCCAGGCTTTTAAAGACCTAAGTCAAATGAAGGTGGTGAGCAAAGACAAGCAGGAACAACAGCATGACCTGTTAGGAATAATGTCAGGGACGTAAAGGACTGAAGTGAGCAGAGACCTGAGGACAAGAGAAAGCACTGCGGACACCACACATTCTCTCTGAGTTAAGAAATGGAAAAAAATTTTTTTTCTCTTTTTAAAATTACCTCTTTTTGGTTCCCTTTTTGCAACCCTTGAATTGCTTTTTTTTTTTTCTTTTTTTTTTTGGGGGTAAAATGAGGTGCAAAAACAGACACTGTGATACATTTCATAAGTGGTAGAACAGAGATTTCAAACTAGTTAAGAACCTGTATTCCTTATCCAAGTCTCTTCCCACAGAGGAATGTCATTTGATCCTGGCATGCTTCTCTCTCATTCCTCCTCTGTTGTGGTAGAAGAGTAAGACCTAATTGGTAAGCCTGGAAACTTTTGTGCTGGCCAGCCCTTTCCTCCATCTCTTGTGTCTCTACAAGTTTGTCTTCAGATACTCTCAGCCTTGAAATATCTTGGAGGTGAAGACCTTGCTACCTTGGAGAAGTTCTGCAGTGGTCCAGAGCTGTCTGCAACTGACTATGAAGTTCTGTCAGGTCCTGGGGTGCTGCTCCAGCTCACTAGTTCCCAGAAATATCAAATTCTCTGATATTAACTCTATCAATCAGACAGATGATATGTTTGCTTCCCATCAGCCTCACCAATCTTGCTTTCATTTCTCTTCTGGTTCCAAATACAGGTTTTCTCAATAAAGCCATGTTTTGATATGACTTCAAATCTGAGCTCCTATCCATTAAAGAACAACCCTGATGTTTTGCTGATGTTTTGCATAAGGTGAAATAAGGCTTACAGATGACAGAGAGAATCCCTAGGTTATTTTGTAACTACCTTTTCCAGAAAATTGAATATTTCCTTTTTCTAAGCTTGAAATGGCAAAACAAGATTAAGAGAAAATTAGAAATCAAGGCAAGATAGGAAATATCTTGCCTCATAAATTCTTTGAGTAAAATCAAGTCCTCAGACCCAGAAAATGATATAACAGTCTGATTAAACAGCTTAGTTAACCACAAAAAAGCCACTGTCACTCATAGTTGAGAAATCACAGAGCATGAAAAATTGTCTGCAGAAAACGAGAATGGGAAAATGGCTCCAGTCTTCAAAACACTAAAAGATGTTAAAATTTCAAAAATTATAATCAGTAGGCTTGACATCAGCCTTCAGGAAACTTATAGAATAATGTGAAAACTATAGTTAAGTCCACTAAAAAAAAAAAATGAGTTGCTTCAAACTCATCTATTATCATTTCACATAATTTGATTAAAAAAAACTATAGCATACCTTTATTTCAGAAAACATTAGACTGAGACATTCACGATATACTTGATAATGATGGTAGAAAGGAGATGCGTGTTTATGCAGTTAAAAAGTTTGAAAGCTAGAAGATCCATCAGAGTGAATGTGAATCACTGTGAAGTAAATGGAGAATTAGCTACCTTCTAAAAGCTAAATGCAATATTTAAGTAGGACTAAATATTGAAGAAAAGCTCCCAAATTGTAGAAAGAAACATTTCCATTGACCCTTCAATATTCAAACCATATTTTGATTTTGTGTGAAATATGGATACCACATATTAAAAGAGATATTAACACATGGACTGTTTAGAAAGAAGCAAACAGAGTTAAAGCTGTCAGGTCAATTTGAAAAAGATTGTCGGAGCTTGGAATTTTATTCTGGAAAAGAAGAGACAATGATGAACATGCGGACTGGCTTTCAAGTCAATCAGCTATTTGAGGCCTCAGATTTTTCTTATATAAAGTGAAGGGGCTTAAACTTAATGAGGTCTTTATGATCCCTATGTCTCTACTGATAAGCTGTTTCTATCTGAACGTTTGCAAAGTCATGGTCAAGGGCTAAGGAATCTGCTCCCTAGAAGTCTGAATTTGAGACAAGGAGCAACCACTACAAAGAGGTAAATGTGTAACTGAACATGAACATACTTTCTAACAATCACATACATCCTGGAACAGTGGGTATTGATTGCAAGTAAGTAAATCCACGATTTTTCAAGCTATTTTTCAAGTACAACAATCCTAAGAGTTATTTTTATTGTACTTTTGTTACTATTTCAGGACAGTATATTAAACGTCTACTACATTCTAGGCTCCTATTGGAGCAGTTGACATCTGATATCATATTCATGATGATCTTCCTTCAGAATAGCCATGGCAGAGAGCTCCTCAGAAGTTGGAGGAGGGTCTTGGTCAATCATGCTGAAACATGAAGACTGAGTAAGTGAAAGTACAGCTCACTCAGACATTTAATTTACTAAGTCTCTTAGAGTTTCTGATTTCATAGGTCTGAAGAGGATCCCAAGAATTGGCATTTTCAGTGATACAGATGTTGTTGGCCCAAGGATCACAGGTTGAGAACCACTGGTTTAAATTCTTTCCAACTTTCATTTTAATGCTAAGATTTTAAGTTTCAGTTTATTACCACACTCTCCCAAGGGCAAGACCTTAAAAGAGGAAAATATTTTTTAAAACATCTATCAGTGAGTAATACCAATTGGTTTAACCATTTAAGCCACTGTGTTTCACCTTTCTCTCACTACTTCTTTCTTAAAATTCTGGTTTGCATTTTGTTTTTTTAAAAATTGAGCCAAAATGCTGTCATTTCTCAATAGAAGAAAAAGCAAATGATTCCTCTTCATTATGACATTTCAGATACTCTTATTCTCT